GTCGACGAGCTCGTTCTGCTGCAGCGCTTGCTCGCACGGCGCGCGCACCCGTCGCAGGAATGCGCGGAAGGGCTCGGATCGCTCCGTTGCCCTCCGTGCTCCCGCACTCAGCTCGCGCGCGTCGTATTGCGCCGCCACATTGACCTGACGCCGGCTGTTTGTTTGAGTCGCGGCTGGCGCAACCAGGGGAACCGCCTGCACTCCCACCGATCGGTCCTCGCGAACCAACCCTCCAAACTTCAGGTCTGTGAAGGGGCGGCAATCATTCTCGCTGATGCAAGGGTCGGCGTCGGCGTCGCGGTCGAAGAATGCCCGCGGCTTTGCGCCAAAGAGGCGGCGCGCCCGCGAGAGGTGCAAGATGAAACGGCCGCGCCCCTCGACCACAGCCTCGTTCTCAAGCTCCTGCTCCGACCCGAGCGACACCCACGGCTTGGAGACTGGTGGCACGTACGCCTCCTCCTCCTCCTCCTCCATCGCCCCAGCGCCACCGCTTTCACCCGCGGCATCGCCTTCGCCGGCAGCCGCCCACTTGGCGACGACCGCCTCCTTGAGCTCCACAGAGTGCACCAGGTAGAAGTTCTGCCCGTAGTCCTCGTCCTCGTCCCAGACGAGCAGCAGCCCTGACGTGCCATCCTCCTGCACGTCCACTCCGTCAGGGTATTTCTCAATGTACTTTTTGGTCGGATGAAAATCGGAGATGACGCCGCGGAACTGAATGTCGTCGAGGAAAACCTTCTTGGAGACAAAGACGTACGGCTGGGCGGAGGTGCAATCCTCGCGCTCACGGCACTTGAAGTTGGCCTGCGTCGTGTTTGTCAGAAACAGCGGGTACGCGCCCTCTGGCACGGGCACCCTCGCATTCTCCCACTCCGGCATCGCGCCGAACGCTGCGCGACCTGTAACCGAACGCGTGGGTAGAGAATCTTACAACCCTTGAGCACTTGAGCACTGGATAGGGCCGATTCCGCGTGGTACGGGACCCCTCGATCGTCTCGCCCTCCCTCACTGGTATGTTCATTGGGGGGGGTCATAACAAACACGGTACAGGATCGAGGTGCACGCTGCCGAAGCAGTGTCGTCCCCCCTCTCCCCGACGGCGATGGCGGTGTGACCGATCGAGCTACAAGAGGAACTTGTTCAGCATGATCAGAGCCGGACCGAGCAGTACCTCACTTCCTCATTGGGTGAGCTTCAGACCTCAAGCCCCAAACTCATCACCTTCGGCTCGTGTGGATACCCAACTAAAGCACGACACTGGGCACGGGAGAGCGACGCGACAGAGGAAGAAGCGACAAGGGAAAGAACGACGAGAAGGGGGCGACCGCGAGGTGGCATGAAGGTCGCAGCGAGAATCGGCGAGAGACTGCGAAGAGAGATAGGAAGAGGCGGACGCCCAAGGGTGGGCGACGGCTAGCGCATCACACCCCTCTCCTTAAAATCCCTGTGTGGTGGCGGCGTGCCGTCCTCCCATCCCTCCCTTGGGTTGTCTGTTTTCTTTCTTTCTTTTACTGGGCACGGGAGAAGCCGGAGGCAGGTCGCTAGACTGAGATGAGACCGCCAGTGGAGTTGGGATTCCACCGTGCACCGCGCTGCGAGCCTGTCGTGACCCTTGTCAGGAGCAGGAGAGCCCCACCTGTGCCCCTGATCGTCCTTCCAAAATCCTGCTCGTGCAGGTGTGGACCCTGTCCTCCTCCCCTATCCCTCGTTTGGGCTGTCTGTTTTCTTTCTTTTTACTGGGCACGGGACTGGCGCGCACTGGTAACGTGCCCACAGGACCCAAAAAAGAAAGGAAAAAAGAAATGGGCCACGCCCGATCGCAGCACTTCGTGTTGGAGAGTCGAGATATTGAGAGTGTGACTACTAACAGTAGGTAGGAGGGAGGGACGCTGGGGATTCTCACAGGTATACCCTTGGAATGGCCGGATCCAGCCTTAAAAGTACGAGATCGCGCGCGCTTCGCGCACAGCACCGCATGTTCGCCGCGGCTGAGTGACGACGGTCGACGCGTGCCGTGTGCCAGCAGAGTTGGGCGCGCGCGGCGCGACGGCGCCCGCGAGGGAAGGCGCGGGTGCAGCGGCCGCCGGCGGTCGTACCGCCCGCCAGCCAGCGCAGCAGCGGCCAGCGCAGCGGCCGCCGGCGCAGCAGCCAGAGCAGCCGGTGCGCGCCTTGCGAGGCGAGTACTGCCGCCCGGCCGCCTTGAGGCGGCCAGGCGGTAGTACTCTCTCGAGCTTTGCGAGCCGTGCGCGCGCCGAGGCGCGCGCGTCGCGCGTCCGCCCGGCTGCCAGTAGGAGGCGGCGCAATATGACCATAGTACAGCCCTTGAGGAGGAGGAAGAGGCTGGCTGGCAGTCGAGTGCTGTATGCCGCCGAGGGGGCAGTTTTGGGGTGCTGTCCCCATCCCAGGGGGCTGCAGAAGGCGTCCGCAGCCGGGACAACCCGCCACCCCAGCCGAGGCCGGTCGAAGCCCACTTGACCACAGCCATGAGCAGTCCTCTTGGTGCTCCTGGCGGCCGTTCAAAGGTCGGACGCGCGGGCGCGCCGATGGGGGGGGGGGGAGGGTCTTGCTTGCCCCACACCGAGCGCCATCGGTCCGGACCGGCGTGGTCACCGAGGGTCGGCTTGCACAAGGTCTGTGCCGCGGGCGCTCGGCGCCAAGTGCAGTGTCACGCTCGCGCTCGAGCGGGTCACAATGGGGAACCCTCGTTTCCTTAGTCACTCGGTCCCCCAACGGAAGAGGCCTCGCTCCTATTGTGTATTGAAACACTCCAACATCAGATTTGCCTCGTGCGTCCCTTTTAAGCCGCAAAGCTATTTTCTTTCGGGTCCTGTGGGCACCGTGTCGATAGGAGCGGCCGCACACTGCTCGGTACCCCCCCTGCACAACTAAGCTCATGGCCGACCCCCCCCCCAGCAGCAGCGCTTTGCTGCTGGGGGGGTCGGGACCCCCCCCCCTCAGCAGGAGCGCTCTGCCTGTGTGGGGGGTGCTGGCATCTCTGTACAGACAGCAGCTGTAAAGAGCATGCGTTCCAGTGGCGAGAATTTAAGGTCGGCATCAAAATCAGTGGTCTCACCGGCGGGCCCTCCTACTGCCGACCGGGAGTGTGGGGCACGCCAGCCTCTCTTCTACGCCTCTCGTGCCTCGCGGCGCCTCTGCTTCAAGGGGGGAAGATACGGCTCTCGCAGCCCTCCCATCATACGCCGTGGCACAGCGCTCAGAGCGGGGAGCACAGCGGCGGGCTGTACAAGATATTGTATATCCGCGCGAGGTCATACGCCAGAGGCCAGCAATCACTCGGGCTAGTTCCATTTCACTGTGGCACAGCTCGCGTTACAAAACCTTGATTTGACCATTTGCGCAAAAAGGTACATCTCGGTGCCTTCCAGAGGCAGCTGCGACCCCGCCGAGTAGACG